TTATATCCATATATCCATTCAATATTTAGAGTCTCACAACACCTCCATAGAATGCTTTCAGATATTTTGAGAATTCTAGAAACGGTGCTTTACCAGTACTCAGAGGGGTTTTTATTTTATTTCGTTACATAATGCATTTAATATCTTATTTACTCACCTACAATGCACAGTATTAGCTATGTTCATCTGAATATCTATATGCAACTTCCATTCACTTACATATGCCTTAACAGAAATTGCAATAAATAGCCATTTCTTGTATATTAAAAATGTATATACAAATTAGAATCTTTAATTTTATAATTTATTAAATTTAAATGTCTGTGTTCTTTTGCAAAAAAAAGTGTTTGGCTTTTCCCTGTGCTTTTTTCATTGAGTCAATGTTATGCAGAGATGCTAGAGGAGGAAGAACCAGCATCTTCAGGTTCAAAACCAATTCAATTTCTACAATTTAAAGAAGTGGGATTGGGATACACTTGCTGCCAAAGTCCTACATCCTTGTTACAACATCCATTATCCAAGGCTAAATATCATGAAGTCACTGAACCAAAACCTCAGTTGACAACTGCACAGAAATTAATCAAACTCACTTAAACCTGCTTGAGGCCCAAATCCATCCTGGGCCATGTATCATCTCTTTTAAAGGCTCAGTTATTTGGGCTTCTATTCAGGACTGATGAGTGAATTCTGCTTTGCATGTCCTATTGATGAAATAATTGCTCCTTTCCATGAAATTCTTTTGCACACATTCTCCTGCTTTACCCTGCACACATGTAGCTGGGTTCCCTTTAAAGCATAATTGAATTTTTCTCATCTGATTGAAGTTTGTTGCTTGAGGATTTGAAAGATCCCTGCTTACTGTGATTATTCAGTGAGCACCATGCTATGCATTCAAGTCCAGCATTCTTTAATCAGGTAACGAGCCACCTCAATACTTTCCATCTGGAAAAGTCATTTACACACTTAAATGCCCCAATAAAACAGTGGACAAGCCCAAACCTGGGGTTCATTTACTGTGATAATTCATGCAGCATTTACAGCTGTGACAAGGGTTGTATTTAATTGCCTTTTGCTTTCATAGATTTTGAGATTCTTAGAGTGTCCATGGCAAAGGGTCTCACATCCACACTCCAGACACGAGGGACACCCAAGGTGGACTCAGTCATGTCCAACACCTCTCCCTCCCCCTGGTCTGGTTTTCTCTGTCTCAAATGACAAAAGATGACACCCACAGGAGGCCTTCTCTTCCTCTCCTTGCCTACATCACATTTTTATTCCTTTTCACCATCATCTGGCTCTGAGGATTTTTTTTAAAGGCAGCTCAAGGAGCTGCAATTCCAGGCCAGGAAAGCAATTTTTAGGTTGTTCTTAATTACACCAGGCAGAAGGCAGCATCTCCTCCAAAGTGCTGTGCAAATTCAACTCCCCTTTCCCACAGCGAGGGGGGCACAGGATGATTTCCAGGGTGTTCCCACAGCGTGTTCTGTCTCAACACTGGGCTTTGCTCGCAGGGGTCAGAAAAGGCTCCTGAGCCTTCCTGGGAGAGAAATGCCTGGAAATCTCCTAAGGATGTGTGTGTGCATGTGGATACATGCGCGTGTGTGTGCGTGTGTGTGTGTGTGTGTGTGTGAATATGTGTTTGTGTGTGTGCGTGCATGTGAATATGAGTTTGCATATGTGTGTTTGTGTGTGTGTGTGCATGTGAATATGTGTTTGCATATGTGTGTTTGTGTGTGTGTGTGCATGTGAATATGTGCTTGTGTGTGTGTGTGTGCGTTCATTGCCCACCTTTGCTCTCCCCCTTCCCTCTCCCCACCACCTTTCCCTGTTCCTCCTCCTTTAGCCACTTCCCAAAGCTGAGCAGGGCCCGGAGCGATGGAGCCGCAGAACCACATCAAGCACTTCTAAATCTCATTAGAGGAGGGAGCAGAGCAGGATGACACGTGTGGGAGAAGCCTGATCCGGGTTAACCTCTGGGTTTTCCGCTCCATCAGCAGAGCGCTGTGCCAGCATCCCCCGGGCGGAGCCGATCCGCGCAGCCCCAGCGGCCCCGGCGCTCCCGGCACGGCCGGGCTCGCTGCAGCCGCCGCTAGATGGTGGCACGGCACAGGAACTGCGAGCACGGAGCGGCCGCTGGACCGTGACCCCGCCGGGAAAATCCCTGGGTCCGGGGGGATGCGCTCGGGAAGGGCCAGGGGAGTCAGACACCCTCGGCTCAGCGCCCATCACGGGCGGATGGAGCAGAGATGCTGCAGGGCCGCATCGTGCCCTGCCTGGAGGAGGGATCCTGCAGGGCAGAAACACAGACAGCGCCTGCAGTGGAGAAATAGAGCCACGATCAATCCAACCAGCCAAAACACCGAAAATAACTCAAGAATAAGCTGTTTTCTGGGGTTACTTCTTAAGGCATCTAAACGTATTCCAGATCCTCCAGAAGAAAATTTAGAGCCAGAAACATAAGAAGTTCCACTGATGATTGTAATTTAATTTTTAAAAATCTTTTATTAAAGAAACACAGCAGCTATGGGAAGACGAACCTGTTTTAGGTGACCCGGGCTGCTGCAGGACAGGGGGTTTCATGTGACCCTGGCAGGAGAAGGTTTCAAGTGATGGCAGTGCTGCCCTCACTGAGACCTGCAGCAATTCCCAGTGCTCACTCTCCAGCCTCTTTGTGTGGTACATCCAAGAGGGACCAACCCACACCAGCGTTCAGGCACTTTGGGACATGTATAATCTAAATGATGATGAAAAATGCATCCATGCAAGATACAGTTTAATCATAGGCAGATCAATAATAACAGAAATGGCATTCTTGGAGCAAGCATTCAAAGTTGCACCTTGTTTCTTTTAAATTAAGATTTTTTGAGGATGCAGATGATGAAAGAAGAAACCAAATAGCTGTGGTTGAGGTAAACAAAAAAAGAGATATATTGTATTTGTCCCTCCCATGTAGCATGTTCTATTCACTGCATCATACCTTTAAGAAAGTGGTAACTCCAGCAGGGAGGAGAGACTCACCAGGGCAGAGGAACCATCTTGAAGACTCTTTTTAAAGAGGATGTATCCATGCACATCTGCACATTTGGAGTTTGTTTCCAGCTCAGTGATCTTCCTCACAAAATGTTTTTCCCAAGCTCCATACTGCAGCTGTTTAGCATAGCTGATGTCTGAGGGTTTTTTCCTTTAGATGGTAATCACGTTTCCTGCAAGCAAGAAGGAAAACTTGAAGGTCTGAGTTACTACAGCATGATCCCTGATGATCATTGCTGTTATTGAATTTAATGCATGAAATGTTGTGGGTCATTTCAGCTAAATTCAGCTGTTTGGCACCAGAAGTCCAGAGAAATAGCTGAAGCTTATGTACCTGTTATGTTGAAATAATAAGCAATGGCTATTTCCAGAAAAAAAAAAAAAATCTGCTTGGAACCATATCCCAAAGGGATGCACAAGTCTGCTGAGCTGCTTATTTCTTTTTAATGGAGATGAAAAAAAACCCTGAATGATGAGTGTGGGCTTGGGTGACTAAATCAGCTGTTAAAGCCAATTCCAGCCTGAATGCTGGTAACACAGAATATTTGCATTAAAACTAAAATAATGATTTTTAATTAAAAATTTCTGCTTTTTTCTTCATCCCTCCAGCAGGTCAGGACAGGCGTTGTGGGGAGCAGCAAGGCTCAGAAATGCAGTCACACTCCCTGGCCTGGGCACACAGGGGTATTGTGTGGGATGGCTATTCCCAGGAAAGAGCAGCAGCTGTTGGGGCTGCCTCTGAGGACAGCGTTGGGAAATAAATACAGAAGGAAGGTTCTGCTGCAACATGACAATTCATCTCCCCACGCAATGTGGTGCTGCAAGAGAGGCCATGAGAGGGACACTGGGGTTGCTCCAGAATTGCAATCAGTTTGCAGCATGTTAATAAGCCAGGAAACAAAGGCAAATCCCTGCTGCCCAGGGACCCACAAGGTCGGATGCTGCCAGTCCTCCTGGCAGAGCAATTTGCTGTAATGCGCCTGTGTGGTCTCAGAGAAACACAAATGGGGATGATCCTGGGAGCACTGGGAGAGAGGGTTGGTGGAGCACAGCCCTGGGAGGTGCCCGGCAGGGCCGGCTGCTGCTGTGCCTCCACAGAAACGTAATGTGCGTCTGAATCCAGGGATGCAGAGCTCAGCCCAGTGAGGTACAGCTTGGCCCAGGATGTGGGGCCTAATCCAGGGATGCAGAGCTCAGCCCAGGGATGTGTGGCTCAGTCCAGGGATGTGTGGTTCAGCCAGGGAGGTACAGCTTGGCCTAGGGATGCTCAGCTCAGAGCAGAATGGGATCAGGGACAGAAGAGAGCAGAGAGCAGCACTAAAGAAGCTGCAAACACCCACGGCCTCTTGGGAAAACCAGCACAAATTTGTTCACAAAATAAGGCAGAGAAGGAAGAAAAACAGCCCCAAACCTTAAGGATTCCCCTTCCAGCAATAAAGCATGAAGGAGCTACAGCTCCTCTTTTCCCACCCAGCCTGGAGCACGGGCAGCCCTTCCCCTCCTGCAGCACGGCCGCGGCCCTGCGGTCCCTTCTGCATGGGGAATGGTCACCAGGCAATGAACTGCAGGGATTTGGGATGAGGGTTGGCCATTCCCGGCCGGCAATGGGCCACAGGGATTTGGGATTTGGGATTTGGGATGTGAGATGGCCATTCCCAGCGGGCAATGAGCCGCAGGGATTTGGGGTGTGGGATGGCCATTCCCGGCCAGGAGATGAGCCGCAGGATTTGGGATTTGGGATGCGGGATGGCCATTCCCGGTGGGCAATGAGCAGCAGGGATGTGGGATGTGGGATGGCCATTCCCGGCCGGACAATGAGCCGCAGGGATTTGGCATTCGGGGTGTGGGATGGCCATTCCCTGCCGGTGCCCGCGGGCTGCCCCGCTGCCTGCCTGGGCGCCCGGCGGCTGCGGCTCGGCAGGGCAGGCAGCCAGCGGGATATATTTAGCAGCAGCAACACAACAGGCAGCGGGATCAGCTGACTGAGGCAGGGAGCTGGCGCATGGGTTGGTGTCAGACAGCACAGCTCCGAGCTGGAGCGGGGAGCGGGGAGCGGGGCAGAGCCGCGCAGCCCGGGCAGACCGCAGCAGCCCAGGTAAGGGGAGCGGGTCTGGCCGCGGGCGTGTGCCGGGGGTCGCCAGGGATACCCGGGATGCTGGCAGCCAGGGATGCTCACGGCACGGTGGGAGGGCTGCGGGCAGCGGGTGCAGATCCGCGGGGGCCGCAGGAGGTGCCCAGGGCCAAGGGGATCGCGGCCGGGCGGGATCTGATCCATCCCTGCATCGGAAGAGTTCTTTACCTGCAAATAGATGATTTAAATTTCCTTCCGGAGGAAGGGCGTGCTGGCAGGACCCAGTGGCTGATTAGCGATATCGGGTTTAACACGAGATGCCCGCGCCCCTCGCCAGCAGCATCCTCGCTCTCATTGCCGGGCCCAGGCTCTGACACTGCCGGGCTCAGGCCAGTGAGGGAGGGAAGGAAGGAATAAACCTTTTCTTAAAGGCTTGGAGACATGAGAGAAACAGAGCAGGCAGGAAAATGATAATAAAAGGGCCCTAAGGTTTGAAACAGGCATCTCCTGCTCTCAGGGCAGCAAATCCCAGCTTGGCTGGCTGTTCCAGCAGCACATGAGGAAAAGCAGGGAGGGCCACAGCGGCCTGGGCAGGGACAGACCCGGCACGAGCTGCTCATTTGTGCCCCGTGTGTGATCTGCAGATTTGCAGGGAGGCTCAACAAAGCCAGATTTATTTACAGCAATGACAAGCAAGGCAGTAAAATAGCCAGCGAAGCACTTTTGCGTTTAATCACACGACAAAGCTATATTGTGTCTGCAGATTAGTCACATACAAATTTCATTGGGGGAAGCAGTGAAAAAAAAAATAAATCCAGGCTGTGTGGTCATTTCTGCCAGAAGGGTAGATAAGCAAAGCTCAGAGGGGAGTGTTTGGAAAAAAAAATAAAAAAATCGGTACAGTTAGAAAATACTGCAGCACAAAATATACAGAAAAATTTGTAATTCAATATATTTAACTGAGTAGTAGGAGCAGTTTGATGGAAATCCATCCTAAAATGAGTTGAGGATGAGTATTTGAATATAAATTAAATATGAATTAAATCCCTTTGACTCTATGTAAGCACTCAGGGGAGGACCTACCTCTTCATAACTACATTTATGAACTACATTAAAAAATAAAATAAATATATTATATATATATATATAAAAGTGATAAAAGTGACCCTGTACATTCTCACCTACAGTTTCTAGAAGGGACCACTGTCATGTTGCTTTATGTAGGTGGTGCTCCCCACAGGGGCAGGGCAGCTCTCTCCTGTTGGGTTCAGCTCCTTGGGCTAAGGGTGCTGTCAGAGCCCTGTCACAGCGAACAGACATGGAGCATTAAATAAGGACAGCAGTTTGTGCCTTGCTGCTCCCCCAAGGGCAGTGAGAAGCTCATGCCCCTGCCCCATGCCTCGCCAGCTGTGCTCCCTTGCATTGCTTAAGGAGGGAGGGACCACCATTGCTGATCTCATTAATGAACCCTCTATTTACTGCCACATTTAATGACCTGGCTTCTTTGGCACATTTATGGAGCTCTTTATGAAGCCATGGGTATGCCAGCAAACTTTTAAAGCGGTTTTGGTTACCAGCTGTGTTTACCTCGAGAAGACATCAGGTGGCTCAGGCAGAAGCCAGGCCAGGATTTCTCTACCAGGGCAGGTTTTCACAGGCTGATCAGCTCTGCTCTGCTCTTTGCAGCCATGGCACCCCGGATCAGGCTGAGCCTTTCCAAGCCTCTCCCAACCATTCGGGAAACCCACGAGGAAGCGATGGAGGAGCCCAGCAGCAACCCCAAGTGTGCTGGGAGTGCTGCAGCCAGCCCAGACTCACACTCTAGTGATGACTACATCCAGTCCATCTGCCACCTCGCCAGGCCCACCTTCCCAGCCCTTCTGGAAAGCAGACGTAAGGGTAAGGACAGAAAGACCCTGAAGACCCCTGAGGATGTGTCAGGTTCTCCATCGCTGGTGGGGACGCAGCAGGAAAGGTCAAAATGTAAACTGACCAATTTCATCTCCAGTGTGGTGCCACTGGGAAAAGTCCCACCTGCAGAAAGCGACTTTTGGTCCAGAGAGGATCCCCTGGAACAAATTTACACCAATGCAGGAAATCTTTGCTCCCCCAAGGTTTCTTCCTATGGTAAAGGTGACAGCACTGGTTACTCACAGTGCAACTCTTCTGCCCCAAATGGTGACCTTCATCCCACTAACCTGGAAGAAAAAAACACAGGGAAAACCAGTTTTCCACGAGTGTTCAGTTTTCCAAGGCTTCCCTCCCCAAGGCCAGTTCAGAAAGAAGCAGTATGCTCAGAGATGAGATATCTCAGAAGGGATGAGGGAACAGTTTTAGGGAATAACCACAGTCAGAAAGAAAATGGTCCCATGTTCATTAACACTGAAGAGCAATTAGGACCCTCAGCCAGAGGGAAGGTGACAGGAAACCCAGCCCTGCCCTGCTCTGTAGGAAGGCAGAATTTGTTCAATACAGCAGGCATAGATGAAAAAGAAGGAAGAAAAACTTCTCAGTGTGACAAAAATGTCATGGGTGATGTTCCCATTAAGCAGAGATACTTCCAGTCTTTCCAGGTACCTAAAAAAGCCACCATCCATAACTGGATTTCAGAGCACAGATGCATCTGGAAAGAAGCAAAGATAAAAGCTTGTTTGCTCCCAGCCATTGCTGAAGTGTGAAGAAGTAGCTGCTTAGAATAATTTTATTCACAAGATGTAACCAACCCTGTGCTCTAGCAGCTCTCCCTGGAGTCCTCACACAGAAAACATGGCTTGAACATGCATGCAAGTCAGGCAGACTCTTGTGATCCATCATATCCCTCATCCGTGGGCAAAGGGACAATTCAGGGTCTCATCTGCTAAGGAAACAGCAATCAGTTCTCATTTTGGAAAGGCAACAGTTCATGAAGCATCTCCTCCCACCTACTGCCTAGAACTGCCCTGAGCATGAAGAAAAACTGGAGAGAGCTGGAGAGAACACAAATCCCATCTGTGCTGGAGAAGAAGTGGGAACACTGAAGTCCCAGTGCCAAGCAGGCAGATGTTGCTGACACTTGAGCACAGCTATCCAGAAAGGAGCCCTTTGCCCAAGGCTCGGACAGTAGGAAATGCACTCCCTGACACACACATTTACTGGGAGACCCATCACAGATCCCTGCCTCAGCACCAGGATCCCAGGAGAGGTCACTCATTAGAGCAGCAGCATAAAGAATTATTTCTTAAAAATCATAAGAAGTCTTTTATGAGGATTTGCTGGAGGGAAAGGTGGAGAATATTACAACTCCTTGGGTGGGGATTTTCCTGGTGCTTACCCTGTCACAACTGTGTTCCCTTTACTCCTGGACTCAGCCCTGTCAGGAGGAGAGCTGGGGGCCCTGGTGGGCACTGCTGTGCTGGGGCTGTGGCTGCTGTGGAGCCAGCTGGAGGCAGGCATCGTGTGGGACTCTGCACTGCCACAGCCAGGCTGCTCACCACGGGCACCCACGGGCTTTGCCGCTCAGGTGTGGGGCCCAGGAGCCCACACAGAGCTCTGCAGGCTCAGAAGAACAGCCCTGGGATGCTGGGCTGCTGCTGATAGAACCTGAATGTAAAATAATAACTTGTGTTTCCCTTCGTACCTGTGCTCCTGTATTCTCACCTAGCTGACCATGCTGATGGTGTTGACTGAGCTCTGCTTTGTGCTGCAAGACTGAAACATGGAAAAAGCAAATGTGCATGTCCCAACCACCCAGCACGCAGCACATTCAAACAGTTCATGCTGATGGAATTGCTACATGGGATGTCTGCAGGACAAGAAGCATTCCCACAGGGCTGGGAGGCCCTGGCGTGGGGCAGTGGGCACATCCCCAGGCATCCCTCACTGCCACAGAGACTTCTCCACCAGAGGAGCTGCCATTGGCATTTCCTACTGCAGTCAGAGCAACCTCACCCACCTGTGTCTGGTGTCACACTCTGGTGTCACACTGGTGTCACACTCTCTGTAGCCAGTCAGGAAATGTAGCTGAGCAAACTGCAAAGCAATACCAGCCTGATTATTACTAGGAATAAATGTTTTGGCACAGTGGAGAGCAGAGGGACCAGGCTGTTTGCTCAACCGCAGCTAAGATGAAAAACAGCATTGGAAAGCTGCAATTATAAAAATGCTCACAAGTGATTTCCAAACCACCCTCAAGCAGATTAAATGAAAAAGCAATTTCTACTCAGCACCAACATGAGTGTAAATATGCTCAAGGATCAAAAGGTGAGAGTGTTTGAGCTTCTCATCCTCACATCTCTTACCTCAAATATTTTTTTCTCCTGTTGAAACTCATTAGTGCTATGGAGCTGAGCTGCTTCTCAGCTCTGTTTTTGAACTAACCACACTGCAAGAATGGAAGTGAAGGTGGCTCCAGCACTCATTAAAGCTGATGGAGAAAGTTGAACCCAGGAGGTCCCAGCCTGCTCTGCCTCCTCCACACCTGTCGCTCCCTTCTCAGGTAAATGCTGGGGTTTAAGCAATGCTCGTCCTCACTGCTCTGCTGTCATTTAAATTCCTCTCCATGTGAATATTTATGACTCTAATGCCTAACAAGTCTTGTGCCAACTGCATGTATCACTGCTTTTGACAGAGGAAACAAATAAAATCCTTCCATCCAGTTGTTGTTTCCATCCTGCATTCCACAGGGCATTATTTTTAGTGCTGGGCTGATCCACAGCACACGGGCTGAGCCTTGCCATGCAAGGACCTCCTCACTCTGCCAGGTCACCAAAGGCCTTCACACCTCACCCCTCCAGCAGCTGCTGCCCAGGGCTGGGATTTCCTCTCTGCTGCCACAATCCTGCAAGTCTCTGCACCCCTGAAAACCATCACCTTTTGTCTCCAGAGCAAAGGGGCACAGCAGCAGAGAGATGCAGCCCAGGACACTGGGAAAAGCCTCCAGCTCTCTGATGTGGGACTGGGAGCAGATTTGGGGGGCTTGGGTGGTGGCAGGGTTGAGCTCAGAGCTGGAGCCATTCAAAAACACAGTGTTAGCTCCAGCAGCAGCCAGGTTTGGAGCAGGGAAGCTTTGGAGTGAACTGGCTCTTTCTGGAGAATACTTTAGTGAAAATGGAGATTCTACTCAAGCAGCTGGGGTTTTAAAGAGGAGCCAAAGCTGCTGGGATGCAGCAAAGATGGGGGCAAAGAGACAAAGAGGCAAATTAGGGTCACAGAAGTGGCAAGGCAGGGAAGGGAGGAGGGAAATGTGGGGCTGGTGGTGCCAGTGATGAGCGGGGCAGCTCCCAGCAGGGCCAGGAGCCCCAGGCTGAGGAATCCCAGCTGCGCAGTAGAAGCTGTGACAGGTAAGAAAAGAAAAGCTGGTTTAACACAAGACAGAGGCAGCAGACAGGGAGGGTTTTTTCCATTCAGGTTCACTTGAATCCTGTTTTGAAAAGCACAGTCCTCACCTTCTTCACCATCAGCTCTGCTGGAAATGACCATGTTGGTCCTTGTGAAATCACTGCACAATTAAAGAGGCACCAGTCCCCTGGACAAGGCAGTTCTGCAGCTGTACAACATCACCCACCCGCTGCAGGTGTACCTGGGGCTGGTTCAGGGAGGGGATGGGGTCTGGGGCAGCCTTGTCCCTCCCTGTCACAGCCTCTCTGCCCCCCAGCTGCTGAGGGAGCCTGCACTCCTACCAAAGCAAAACAAATGGGATGCTGTTGGGTGGGATAACGTGGCCTGTGGTTACAGAGCACTTTTCTCCCTGGTCTCCCCATGGGTGCACTCCTGGGCCATCAGAAAATGCTCCCCTCCTCCCTCTCTGCAGAACAGCCCCTGAGGAATCACTGGGCAGGATCAGCCTGCAGAAGTTGCTGCCTGCTCAGAAGTGCTTCCAGACAAGAAAGAAAACCTTATCTGGGAATTTAGGTCACAGAGAGAGATAAAAGCCGTGCTGCTTCCATGGCCAATCTCATGGCAGGCTCTGCATTTGAAGTCACTGGCAGAAAAATCTCATTTATTGAGATCATCAGAACTGCCAAAGGGATTTGGATTAATTTGAATGGGGAATTGGTATCCAAATCCCACCAGCAGGTTTCAGTCTCAGACTTCACATCCAGTTCACAGCAAACTGTGAGCATTCATGGCAATTTTGCTTGCATGGTCATGCAGCCTCTCCCTGCTGCAAACTGCAAATGCGTTTGGACACAGAAAATCATGACCAGAATTTACAAACCAGAGATGGTGAGGCAGAAAGAAAACTGTCCCACTTTTTCCTCAGATTCTTGTCTTTAAATGACAAAGATACCCATCAGCTGAAAACAAAGGTGAGGAATAAACAGCTCCGTGATGATCAGACCTGTGCAGTGCAGGAGCTGCTCAGAAACTCCTGCAGCGCAGAGAGCCTCACCCACCCAGGAGTGATGCTGTGCCCACACAGCCAGCAAGAGAGATGGTGATAAACAACCCAAAATCTGAGCAGTGCAGCTTGATTACAGACAGGGATTGTAATGTGAGAGACAAGCAGGAGCAGAACAAAGGGCTGCACACAAACAGGGAGAGGCTGGAGGGCTATGAGCAAGGCTAGCAAAATCAGTTCCCAAAAAGGTCTTTAGGTCTAAAGTTAGGATTAAAGCAGCTATTTTTGATTTCAGAAAAAAAAAATCCAATTCTTAAAACTCCAAGGAAAACTTAAAGCTCCCACCTTTAAAGGAGATCAGACCTGAGCCCGAGGCAAAACCCAAGGACAGCTCAGCTGCAAGCAGGGGCTTTGTGGGGGGTGCTTCAGGCTTTCCCCCTGCCCTGAAGGGCCTGCATTTGGGCCTAATTGCTCATTAAGGGCATATTTTAATTAACTTTGAGCCTTCCTGAGTGGAGACTACTTCATTTATCATGGTGCAGAATGAAGTTAAACTGCATTTAGTGACTAAGCAGGAATCCCTTAGCTTTGAACGAAACCTTGACTGAACCATCAGCACTGTGATTAATGGCAAAGTGTTTTGTATTTTCCATTTGCAGCTGTTTTTGTATTTTCCATTTGCAGCTGTAACCACGGGCAGAGGAGAGCTCTGAAGTGATGGCTGAAAGCTTTACTGCTTGTGTTTGGAGACAGAACGTTCAGGTCCTGCCTTGCTCACCAGGGCCCACGTGTGTTTTTGTGGCTGGCATCACTCATTTGGGCCACAGTTGACAGCAGGGATGACCCCTGAAGTGCCACATCATGGGCTTGTGGCCTTTCCCCGTGCTCAGGGATTCTCAAGGATAATCTAATTTGCTTGACACGAGCTAGAACTGATGCGAAATACATGTTGTGTAAATAGAGAGATATTGTTCCTGGTAATTGCAGCCTTCCTGGAACTAATGCTCCTGGAGGCAATGCTTCCTAGGGCTGTTGCAAAGAGCTGTAGAAAGACTGGGCATTTTTAGAATACCAGCTTGTTGCTACATAAATTTTGACCAAATGCCATTTAAATCAAAGGGAGCCTGTAAGTGCTTTGGAATGGGCTTTTAATGGGGATAATGGGGTGCTGCATTCAAAGCAAAGATTTCTAATAGCAGCTGATGAGAAAAATCAAATTATTACTTTATTTATTTGTGTGTATTATCATTGTATCCACTGTTTCTTGTCTTTGCTTTTAAATTAACCCAGCTGAAAGCCCCACCAGCCTGCTGTGAGCTCAGCAAAAGCTGTGTGTGAACCACAGGGCTTTACCTGCCTGTGCCTCACACACCTGCAGGGGCTCTGTCCCTCGGGACCAGCAAATCCTGCTCTGCAGAGCCGTGGTCAGGCAGGGGGAGAGCAGAGGGAGCCAGCAGGGACACGGCCACATCTCATCTGCCAGCACAATGTCACATTTGCAGGTCAGCCGTGCTCAGCTGAATGTTTTGTTGTTTTTTCCTGGATGGTGAGGATGTGGAACAGAACATGGTTCATACAGAGGTGCTGGGCTGCTCGCAAACCCTCTGACAGGAGGCTGTGGCCAGGTGGGTGCTGGTCTCTCCTCCCAGGTACCAAATGGCAGAACCAGACGAAAGGGCCTCGAGCTGGGTTTAGATTAGGAGAGGTTTAGATTTCATGTTGGGAAAATTTCTGGATGGGTTGTCAAGCCCTGGAACATTCTGCCAAGGAAATGGTGGAACCACTGTCCCTGGAAGTGTTAAAACCATGCAGGTGTGGCCCTTGGGAACATGGCTTAGCAGTGGGTTTGGCAGTGCTGGGCTGAAGTCAGTGATCTTAGAGGGCTTTTCCAGCCTTAATTGTTTTGTGTTTTTATATTGTTCTAACTCACTCAATGAGCACTGGCTGAGCTCCACTAGCTCAGCTTCAGGACAGGGAGATGCCACATCTCA